CAAACATAATGTTATGTCCTACGTCCTGTGCCCATTTAATCATAGCCGATTTTACCGTTTCATCTTGAGTATTCCATTTCAGCAGCAAGTTATACATTCTTGACAAATTCTTAGTATTGGGTTCTAACAATTCTGTTTCTAATTTTGATTTTTCCACCTGGAAGCCAATTTTCCTGTCCAATTTAAATGCCTCCATTATTTGATAATAATGAAGCCAGTCTCGCACTTTGTTTTTTAGTTTTTCAAAACTCTGCAATTTCAGTCTATCTCCGTCTTGTTCCAAAATTTCCCAATATTTCGGCCATTTGACCTCCATATTGACCCTTTTCAAAGCTTTCGCTTCCATTGGTGACAGCCACCTTGGGGTTTTATTTTCTAGCAAATCCTTATATCTTATCCAAACATTAAATAGCGCTTTCCTGACAATATGGTTTTTAAATGCTTTGTGTGCTTTGACCTTATCATACCATAAATATGCATGCCATCCAAATACATTATTGAAACCTTCCAAGTCCAAAATGTCAGTGTTTTCAAGAAGTAGCCATTCTTTCAACCAGCAGAAAGCTGCTGATTCATAATAAAGTTTGAGGTCTGGCAGGGCAAATCCACCTCTTTCCTTTGCATCTGTTAGTATTTTAAATTTTATTCTGGGTTTCTTGCCCTGCCAGACAAATTTAGAGATATCTTTCTGCCACCTCTTGAAACAGTCCATTTTGTCCACAATCTGCAAAGTTTGAAAGAAAAACAACATTCTAGGCAATACATTCATTTTTATCGCAGCAATACGGCCTAGCAGTGAAAGCTTCAAATTTGACCAAATTTCTAAATCTTTTTTCACTTCTGACCACTCTTAAAAATAATTATTAGCCCTTACCACTCACAGAAGACAGTAGCTCATGACAGCTCTCACAGGGGATTTTTCCATTCTCCCCCTCTGCCTCTCGTCCTGGGAGACCAACCTTTCCCTATCTCACAGTCAAGGCCCTCCATCGGAGACCTACCACCCCCAGGAGTATGCTATCTCAGGACCTTAATAAGGGCCCCAGATGTACAGTAGGAATCAGTCCAGATTTCCATGCATTGCCTTTCTGATAGATCTACTATTTTTGGTGCACATAAATGGGCAAATGATTCAGAGGGCTGCTCTAATGTCTTCTTTCAGAGCAATCTTAAGTTGTGTTTTCCCTGAAGTTCCACTGTACGCAACGTAAATTCTCTTGAAACGGAAGCACCTTGTTTTTTTCCAATGTTCCTAAATGGTCAGCTTTGGTGCAGACAGTGGGTACAGAGCTTCCCCTTTGTGCTGTTTGGGTGGTGGCAGTCTGCTGGAGACTGGGACTCAGTTGCAGAAATAGCAACGGGTTTCCAACTCACCGCAAGTCCTGGGCTGCTACACCACTGACAGATTCCAGCCAGATAAAACCACTAGACGAGAGTTCAAGCAGGACCAGTGAGAGGTGTGGATTTTGCAAGTGGCATTGCCCTAGGGCCATATAGAGAGGCCCAGGGGGCCACAACCTGTGGGATCGAGGTTCTCCACCCCTGCAATAGAGGAGCCTCATATAGACTTCCGGGGTGGTGCCACCGGCAATGGCGGACTCCCTCTGAACTGGAGGGACTAGCTCCGCGGGAAAAGGGTCTTCTCAGCTACGGCGAAGTGGGGACCCTTTTAAAAATCACAGGCGGATGAAGCCTGTGACCATGGGACTCGGCGGGCGCCATTAGCGCCCCCCAACCCGCTAAGGAACCCACTAACGGGCTCCGAAGTGAAGAGGGGGAAGTGGCGCGGTGCTGAGAGTCAGCTGCTATTTCCGTGGAGTGAAGCCGCATAGCCGTTGCCGGAGAGCGCTGCCCTTTTCCTGGGACAATTTGGACTTTAAAATAAGCACCCGTGAGTACTTAGACTTTGAACAATTGGACATCAAATAAGGACTAGTGAGCAGAAAAGAATTGGATTTTAAAAACCTACTCTAATTTGGTACGGAACAGGAAGGTCTAAACAGGAAGTCAGCCTTCCGTTCTTTTGTAAACAGAATAAAGCAAAGACAATTTAAACTAGAGCTCAGAAAATCGTCTTTAAAGGATTGGATTTCACCATTTAAAATTGTGGAACCCCTTCGACAGCAGGGAGAAGGGGGATCTTTTTGGACTGTTTAAAGTGACTTTAAAGTAAAGTAACTTTCCTCCGTCCTGATCCTGGAGCGGGGTGTCAGGACTGACGTTTGAAGTTCATTGACCAAAGACAAGTGTTTTTGACAGATAGCTAAAAGAAGAGAAACATAGTGATTCCACTGTTCCCCTTCGCATTTTAAAGGAATATATATTGACAAAGTATCTCAAAAAGGGAAACTTTGTTGCAAGAACACATAGATGTTTTCCCCCTAGAGGGAGTCTGTGAAACTGTAACCAACTCCAGGGAGCCGGCAGCTGTTACAGATTACAACCGTGGGAACAGGCATCTGACCTTGCAGGACAGTGTATTCAGAAGCTTTGTTGTGTGCTCTCTATAAAACAAATGCCCTACTGGAACAATTACATGAGAAGGTGAATTGGATGGCGACTTCGACTAGAAATTTTGGACAGGCAGTGGGAAATTTTGAACAGACAGTGGGAAAATATGTGGAGCCCACTCAGGAATTAAATCAGGAGTGTGTCTTGACAGAACAGGCCCAACAGGAATATGAGTTTTCGGATTTAACAAATGAACTTGGAAAAAGCCAGATTTGGAAAGGAAAAGTTTGGTTTGGCTTGGAAATGGGGGGCTGGATTGACCCCCCTATGCTGGGACATTTGGACTTTTCAAATATGGCAATGGGCCGTGAGATGTTTGGGTTTGTGGGGGCTCTTAATTTTGGAGGGTCATAGAATCATAGAATCATAGAATCATAGAGTTGGAAGAGACCACAAGGGCCATCGAGTCCAACCCCCTGCCAAGCAGGAAACACCATCAGAGCACTGCTGACATATGGTTGTCAAGCCTCTGCTTAAAGACCTCCAAAGAAGGAGACTCCACCACACTCCTTGGCAGCAAATTCCACTGTCGAACAGCTCTTACTGTCAGGAAGTTCTTCCTAAGGTTTAGGTGGAATCTTCTTTCTTGTAGTTTGGATCCATTGCTCCGTGTCCGCTTCTCTGGAGCAGCAGAAAACAACCTTTCTCCCTCCTCTATGTGACATCCTTTTATATATTTGAACATGGCTATCATATCTCCCCTTAACCTCCTCTTCTCCAGGCTAAACATGCCCAGCTCCCTTAGCCGTTCCTCATAAGGCATCGTTTCCAGGCCTTTGACCATTTTGGTTGCCCTCCTCTGGACACGTTCCAGTTTGTCAGTGTCCTTCTTGAACTGTGGTGCCCAGAACTGGACACAGTACTCCAGGTGAGGTCTGACCAGAGCAGAATACAGTGGCACTTTGAAACATGCTTTTAAATACTACATGGAATTCAGTGTTGAATATGGAAAAGGGGCTGATCTGTCGAGAAGGGTTAAGAACATTGTCAAGCTGGAGTTACCACGAGCAGGAGACAAGGGAAAATACAGTTACAAATATGAAAAGAGCTGCGGAAGGGACATGGAAGAGACTTGAGGGCCTTGGATATAAGGTTGCCAGGTTAATGGGCTAGATCGATGGGATAATAAGGACTGACAAAACCCGGAACCAGGAGGAAGGGATGTTGGATGAAGGTTGGATTTGTTTGTATCTCTTTTCTCTACCATTAGAACTGTTTTATAAAATTGATGAATGTTAGAAAAATGTTGGAATGAAATTACTTGGCTTTAGCAAAGATGTTTAAAGAATTATGAAAGAATATTATGGTTATGAGAAGTTGGTAAGGATAAGATTTAAGTTTTAAGCTTTAAGGTTTATTTTATTATAGAAAGATAAGATTAAAACAGTTTAGGGTAATGTAATGACAGAATATTATGAAACATGGAAAGGATTTGCTGGGATAATTAATAACTAGGATACAAAGAAAGGGAGGAGGAGGAGGTCTAAGAAAGAAGGCAATGACAGTTAAGGATTTGAAAATAATGAATTTGTTTTTAAATGTTTTTAACGGTTTGTGATGTATTTTTGTATTTTTCTTTTTTTCCCTGTCACTTTTTTTATTTTGAATTTTTACTCATATGGTGGGAAGGGGTTTTTTTGTTTTTTTTCTACTTTGTCAACTATTTTTATTTGTACTTTCTTTTGCTTCTATTTTATTTTTTATTTTTTGTAACACTTTGAAAATTTCAATAAATATCTTAAAAAAAAAATAAAAAAATAGAGGATCCTCATATAACACCAATCCTGAAAGACCTACATTGGCTCCCAGTACATTTCTGAGCACAACTCAAAGTGTTGGTGCTGACCTTTAAAGCCCTAAACAGCCTCGGCTGTGTATACCTGAAGGAGCGACTCCATCTCCATCGTTCGGCCCAGACACTGAGGTCCAGCTCCGAGGGCCTTCTGGCGGTTCCCTCACTGTGAGAAGTAAGGTTACAGGGAGCCAGGCAGAGGGCCTTCTCAGTGGTGGCGCCCGCCCTGTGGAACGCCCTCCCACCAGATGTCAATGAAATAAACAACTACAATGGTACCTTGGGTTAAGAACTTAATTTGTTCCGGAGGTTGGTTCTTAACCTGAAACTGTTCTTAACCTGAGACACCATTTTAGCTAATGGGGCCTCCCGCTGCTGCCGCTGAAGCAAAGTTCTTAACCCAAGGTACTATTTCTGGGTTAGCGGAGTCTGTAACCTGAAGCGTCTGTAACCTGAAGCACCTGTAACCCGTATCTGTAATCTGTATCTGTAACCTGTATCTGACTTTTAGAAGACATCTGAAGGCAGCCCTGTTTAGGGAAGTTTTTAATGTTTGATGTTTGATTGTGTTTTTAATATTCTGTTGGGAGCTGTCCAGGGTGGCTGGGTAAACCCAGCTACATGGGCAGGTCATAACTTACTACTACTACTACATGATCTGCCAGTCCCTCTTGTGCCTCTATACTGGACGTCTCACCTGTGTTTGTTTCTAGAGGAAGGCCAGACGTTGCTGCGTGGCTGCAGCTTGGAGAAGCTTTGCTGGGAGAAGCCACAGCTGCTGGGCCTGAGCCGGAACGCCTCCATCCGATGCTGCTCTGGCTCCCTCTGCAACCGCAGCACGGAGCTGACCTCGGGGACTATGCCGCTGCACTTGCTGCTGCCCGCTCTCCTGATGACGATGATGCGGCTGCTCTGACGGACACCTAAGGATGTGTGGACTCCACCGAAAGGGCCAAAGACAGCAGAAGGGCAGAAAGCACTTGACCAGCACTGCACGCGCAGTTGCATTCTTGCAGCCAATGCGGCATTTTTGTCACCTGCAACGTTGCTCTGGTCTGCCATGCATCGCGGGTGCCTGCGCATTGCTGCATCTGGTCCAAGAATGTGGCAGCGTTGCATGCAAGGCTGGATTCCACGGCACCCTCTGTGACTTCTGCTTCCTACTTCCCAGACTGGAACTTTCAGGGAAGGGTCAGTTTCCTTGCGAGGGAAGAGAGATCTGTTTACAAATGATGCCAGGATGGTGGCAATAGGTTGGCAGAGACAGCCAGACTCGTAGTACCAGTCCTGAAAATAATGTCAGTCTTCCCCAAAGCGACCACACACCCTCGCAACTGCTTCTCGTCTGCCAACCTCAGAAGCCCTGGCTTCCTTCTCTCTCGCTGCCCTGATTGAAACTAGAGAACTGTTTCCTTCATTCCAGGTGTGGTGGCAGGACACAAACAACAGCGACTTGGCATGGCTACTGTCCATGGAAGACCTTTAAGCAGTCACCTCCATCTCTCGCCTGCTGCACCAAAGCCTAAGAAGAGTGGAGTGGTTATTGAGCACCTATCCTTATTTGCTTGCGCAAAGCTTAATGCAGAAGTTAGACTACGGGTGTCATACTCCCTGGGGATCTGGGTGCCTGAGCTCTCACAAAATTCCCCATGAAAGGGCTGGGCACCGACAAATTTCTGTGCCAGGGCCATGCACGCTGCATGGCACCCGCTGCCCCAGGTATCCACAGACACGGGGTCAAGTTGGCACTCCTGATGAGTGTGTTCACATTAGCGCCTTAGAGTGTGGTGAAGTTGTCCCCTGCAGTGTATTCAGCTGTTCTCTCCCACCAGGCATTGTCCACATCAGCATAGCTTCATTAATGTCAGATTCGTTTCTGTTTCTGTACACACCTGGGGGTATTGACAGGGCAAAGTTTGTCTTTACACTATGCAAAGGTGGTCCCACCTTGACTAGAGGTGAATAAGGACCAGATTAAGGACTCCAGTCGGCATGAAGCTCATTTGAGAAGTAACACATCACACAGTAGTGTTTTATTACAAAGTACAGGGTATGTATTTTGGACAAGGGAGTGTGAAATCCATTAAAAAACCGGCCCTGGAAATGCAGCAAGTGCACAGTAAACTGGGGCGTCTTCATTGAACATTTGTTCTGATTTGCTCATGGGGAGCTGTTTGACAGTGGAATTTGCTGCCAAGGAGTGTGGTGGAGTCTCCTTCTTTGGAGGTCTTTAAGCAGAGGCTTGACAACCATATGTCAGGAGTGCTCTGATGGTGTTTCCTGCTTGGCAGGGGGTTGGACTCGATGGCCCTTGTGGTCTCTTCCAACTCTATGATTCTATGATTCTATGAGGTTAGACAACAAACAGCAATCTATCCTGATTTGCTTGGCTATGTGCCTTCTTATTTATCTTTTCCTCATGTCACGCTTGAAGTTTGCTTTTCCCGTCATATTCCTAACCACAGAAAGTGTTTTCATTTTTAATTGGATCTCGCTGCCCAAGGACAGCGGTGTTTTAATACTCGCACAAACCTAAATGTCCTGTCTGGAATGCCTCCCACAAAATACCGACAGTCTGGAGGCGACCTTGCACCACCAAGCAGCATGCTTTTGCAGCCTCCTACGCATGACTGTTGTTGTGGATGTTATTTCACTCACTGCTTCGGGGTTGCGGGCATTGTTCCATGCCACTGCTGCTGCAATATTTCACCTGTGCAGCAGGATTCCATTGCACACCTGAGAGCACCAGCAGGGACTGATCGAGTTGCAGTGGAGGCTGCCCATAGCAGCAGCAGTGAAGAGGTATTGGGATTAATAATAGGGGATTAAAAGGGAAAACCCTCCACCTGGGTACTGGACTTCACTTTTGGGCAAACCGGGCTGGTGAAGCCTTTAGAATCTGATAGCTTCACAGTTTCACTTCAAGCTGTTGTAAGCCAAAAATAGCATATCTCCTGAATTTATGCCAATAAAACTCGGAAACGTGAGGAGTTAGGAGTCCAACGTTGTTTATTGCAAACCAATAGGTTACAGTCGGATCGTTCCGCAAAACTGCAACCCCGCCTGGTGTTCCAGACAGTGGCATTTATAAAATTTCAAACAAAGCACAGTGGTGCCCCGCAAGACGAATGCCTCGCAAGACGGAAAACCCGCTAGACGAAAGGGTTTTCCGTTTTTGAGTTGCTTCGCAGGACAAATTTCCCTATGGGCTTGCTTCGCAAGACAAAAATGTCTTGCGAGTCTTGAGATTTTTTTTCGCCCCCCCCCCTTTTTCTAAGCCGCTAAGCCGCTAATAGCCTTTTAGCAGCTAAGCCGCTAAGCCTTTAATAGCCGCTAAACCGCTAATAGCGCTAATCCGCTAATCCGCTAATAGGGTTGCTTCGCAAGACGAATAATCCGCTAGACGAAGACACTCGCGGAACGGATTAATTTCGTCTTGCGAGGCACCACTGCATTTCAATTTCCACCAATCATATACATCATTACCTCATTTCATGTTTAATACACATGCGCAATAAGCACTGGCAATTTCTGCTGATTAAGTTCTGATTCCCACTGTGTTCTGTTACATTGCGTTAGTGTACATGTTGGGAACCTGTGTTACGTGTAGCCATTTGCACCATGTAGCAACTTATGTTCTAGTTTTGAGCTGTATCTTTGTGATTCACATATTAGCTGTATTTCTGCCCCAATGGGACGGCAACTTGCAAAACCACCAATTTAATAAGGTAACAGGCTACCATAACTTCTCTAATAGATGTATACTCAAGGATTCACAGGAATACACATTATCACATTTATTGTGGCCCTCTGCGCCACTGCCACAAAATGACAAGGGAGTTTTGACTCAACATTAGGAAGAAAATCGTGACAGTATTATGTGACACTGGAACCAGTTTCCCTAAGAAGGTGGTAGATTGGAGTTGCCACCTTTGGTCTGCCCAAATACAGGACAGGACTGGGTGGTGGATTGCACACCCCACAAGTGTCTTAGACTGGGACATCCCACATTTTAATCATGAGAGCATGGTGGTCATTTTAGTTGCCATGATCTCATGCAATTTTGCGGTGCATTTCACCCCCCGAAATAGGTTTTTTCTCAGGGCTGCAATTTCATGCAGTGCCCCCAAAACGCACATTTGTGGGCACCGTACATGAAAAGGCACTTTTGGGGAACGAAATTGCACATGATCATGGCAACCAAAATGGCCGGCATGCTCTCACCTAAAAAACAGCAGAATGGCACCCCGGATTTTGGCTTCAAAGCGTTGGAGGCTATGAGGCGGAAGAGAGAGAGAGAGAGGAAATACAGGACAAACTGCTTCCTATATTGAATCAATACAGGACATGGCATTTTATGTCGAAATACGGGACAATTCTGTATTATATGGGATGGGTGACAACTCTGTGGTGGATTCTCCTTTATTAGAAGTCTTTAATGTGGATGGCCACCTAGCAAGAATTCTGTAGTAGATTTCCTGCACCAGAAGAGGGTTGGTCTGGATGACCTTTGAGGCTTCCTTTTCCCCAGCTCTATGATTCTGATTTGCATCATGTATCCCCTTTGAAATTTGTTGCTTAAGGCTCCTGGACATGGGCTACTCTGATGGAACTTCTCTGCCCCCTTGTGGTGGGTAAGGTAAGTTGCTACAAGAGGAGAAAGAAGATTTTAAAATTCTGTCTCTCTTTCTTGCTATTGTCGCAGGACTAGCCTGCCACCTACACAACAGGAAGGATTCAGGTTTTACTTTTTTCTTATTTCTTTGGCTAAGGAAGGGAAATCCTGCTGAATCTGTAGGAAAAGCAATGCATAGGAATAGTTCCAAGCTGTAGGGAGTGTGTGTGTGTTTGCGTCATATTTAAGGAGTCAGAGGATTCAGCAAAGAATTACGCAGAACATCAGACTCTACTCCTAAGCCATAACCAGAGAGCAGAGTGGGGAACTTCAGGCCTTGGCCCCAAATGCAGCCCCCCCAGGCCTCTCTGTCTTGGCCATTGGGTCTCTCCCAGAGCCGGATTAAGACCTTTAGAGTCCCTAAGCACTTAAAAGATTTTGGTGCCTCCATCTATATCTAATTCAAAATATAAAACATCGATAAACCTTAAAATAAAATTTTATTTTTTAGAAATGAAACAAAATCTACAGCATGATGGAAAATAATTGTTTTGGTATACTCCCATTTTCTTTATACTTGAATTTTTCCTCTCCTACTTTTTCTAATTGCAAAGTCTTTGGTCAGATCCTCAAAGCTAATCTTACAAAACACACCTGCTTCTATACTGAGTAGAGATAAGGCACCAAGTCTGCCTTGGTGCATAGTTATTCTGTTAGGATTTTCTTTACATATACTTCAACTGAGAAAATGAACAATTTGTGACCATTGATGTTAAAAATCTGGCAATGGAAAATTTCTGTGGTGCCCCCCCTTCCCTTGATGCCCTAAGCACAGGCTTCTTTTGCTTAATCATTAATCCAGCCCTGGTCTTTCCCCAGGCCACATCCCTCACTGGTTTAATTCACACCCTGCTAGTGTGCTTTTTTTACCTATTTAGGATATACCGTACTTTTCCGTGTATAAGACTATGTTTTTTAATTCCAACATTGACGCCGGAGCTATTCTCAATTTCTACAAAAATGGAAGTGGCTGAATATTTTGGTGGTGACCACCTTCCATTGACTCTAATGTTAAACCTAATAGAGCCACTCCCAGTCTCCTCAAACTATAGAACCATGGTACAAAGCCACCCTGTATACAAAACAAAGAAATGGACAAGCCTCAGCTCCTCTCTTGCCCTGGACATACAAAAATCATTTGATATGTCTGCAGTTCCCTCTGATCCAATCCTGCCCGCTGACCAATACCGGAAATTACTTGATGCTTTCTCAACAACTTACATAACCACCACCTCGCCTACTTACCAACGCCTCTTCTCTGAATCGCCCTGGTTTGACAAGGAATGTAAAGCCCTAAGAAGGCGAATTAGGAAAATGGTCAGAATCATCAAATCTTCCAACGACCCCCAAACCCGTGCAAAGCTCATAGATATTAAAAGGACATATAGAAACATGATTCATTGCAAGA